AGCTTGTCGGTCAGATTTATTTTTTCTGTTGGATAATCCTAGTTTTATCAGATGATACTAGATAAAATGATAGAAAAAATAAATAGCAAAAATAGAATTAAAACAATTGGAATTTAAAAAAAAATATTTTTGAAAATTAAAAAAATAGATATGTTGGGTTATACAAAATGAAAAATCAACCTTGCATTACCTTAAGTATAGCTCTTTTATTAATCAATAGATCGATTTTAGTTAGTGCTTCATTAATAATATTTGAAAATAGATCATATTGTGGTTAAGATAGGAAAAATATTGGTGGTGCACCCTATATAACAAAATAAATTTCATTTTATATCATTTTTAATAAGAGGTAAGCAGTTTATTGAGTACATATCTTCAGATTTTAAGCAATTCCCTAATCAATAATATAAATCCAAATTATTACTTCTTTTATTTGTAAATAATCATAACTGGTAAGCAAAATCTTATTTAATAAAGCAAAAAAAGCTATTTTATCATATTGTGTAAAAAATCACTGAAGCTTTTTGTTAAAAGCTATATGGATGAGATATGATCGCTAGAGTAATTCTTAAGAAATATTAAAGAAAAAAAGAACAAAAAAAAAAGAACCAAAAGAAAAAAAAAAACAAAAAAAAAAAGAAACACAAAATTATTTAGTTCATTGCAAAAAAAATTCAGTAGTGTTAATCTGCTTTTTTCGAAAAGCAGAGAATCTTGAAACCTCTTTTTTCAGCCTACAGACAGTATTCCTATCATTATCAGTAGCTATAAAATCATCAGGTTGCTATAAAAGATATATTTCAATTAAATCCAAAGCTTTTAAAGCATCATGATCTGTAATTTTAGGTGCTGGTTCTAAGATTATTTCTTCAGTAGGGTGGTTATCCTTATTCTCAATATCACAGATTATATCATCGTCAAATAGCATCTCAAAAACAACATCAGCATCGATATCTGCAAATTCTTTCACATCTATAGGATCATTGATTTTACTGCTTACTGCCAAATTAATTATTAAATCATCAAGTTCACCAAACTTATTTTTTAACTCTAGCTCTAACTGCCGACATGCCTGATCCCTTTTGCCACTTGGTATCGAGGAAGAATATCTGTTTTTAGCCAAGAGTTCATAATTGTTTCCTGGGCAACGTTCTTCCACACATCTGAGATAGCATTAATTGCATCAAGAATACTAAAATTATCAAGTGAAGCAGAGCCTGTAACCATTATTTTATCGAATACATCAAGCTGATTTTTTACAAAAATGCTTTTATAATAGTATTTAAATGAATTAATAATGCTGGCATCACACAGCTGAAGGTGAAAGGTCGTATTTTTTGGTATCTTTTTAATATGAATATTGGTAAGTTCAACTTCTCGAATATAGATAGTACAATAATCCACAAAAAGAAAAATATGGTAATTTTGGAGCCTCATTTTTTTGTCAACACGTTCTAACCAGTTATTATACATAGAGACCTGCATCCATGCAGTTTCATTCCAATAATACCAGACTAGTAATTTTTTTTTATTTAAATTTCAAATAGGACGGGGATTCTTATTTATATGAATAAACACAGGGAGAGTTTTTCTGTCCCAGTTGCATTTGTTGCAAGCATCACGGTCACTCGTGCTTTATCCTTTTTATAACCTGAGATGAGACTACATGCAAGGGTTTTTGATGGGCGCATCTTCTAATAAAGAGACATTTTATCTGCATTCCAGATATTGTCAAGGGTATACTCTTCATATATTGCTTGAAAACGCTCTTTGTGTTTATTCAGAGATTTGGCCAGGGGCACTAGCAGCCTCGCTATTTCTGTTATACTGATGAAGACCAAATCATTCTTAAAAACCATTAACCCAACCAGTACCTTTAAAATCAGTAATGTTCAGAGCTGTAGCAAAGGTTTTGGCTTTGGTAAGTAGGGCTGCTTGATTTAAATTCATATTTGCTATAAGAGCACTTTCTACTCAGACACACATAGTTTTATCCAACTTAGGCTACTTTGGTTAACGATCGTGTTTATAGTTTGCCTTAGCTTTGTTGATTGTATCAATGTTTAGCCATTTAGAAGATTATTTGAGAATATCAGATATGCATATTCTTTGAACGCCATAATCTTTAGCAAGTTCATTGTTCTGGATAGATATAAACTTCTGCTTTTTTTCACAAATTTCCTTCTTTTCTTCGGCTATAAGATGCTTTCTTTTAAGAGGTGGTTTAACTTTAGTTATTATTTTTGTACAATTAAATGGAACACGTTTTGTGTTAAAAACTTGCAATTTTTTTTTTAAGCAAAAAAAAATCACCCCTGCATAAAATCTGCATGTACCTGTAACTTTACTACAAAACATGTTCAATTCATTGATTCAGTAATATTGACAAACAGAATTAACAAAATATCTAGAAGTTCAATCGAGCCGTTAAAGTTGCAAACTCTAGAGCTAATATTCTGCTCAAGATTGAACCTCAGGATTTCATTTGATAAGTTTTTTTTTTTTTTGAAATAGGTTGCAAATTGAAGAAATAAGACAAATAAAAAATGGATGGAATTGTTATTTGCGAATGTCAGAGTTGCTATCGAAAGTTAGTGTATTAAAAATTATCTCCCACTCCTGCAAAATTTTGTAAACATATAATGCAGTTGGTCTGCTTTTTGGATTTTTATCCATATATTTATTTGGAAGATTTATATAGCAATCAAGTATTCCTAAAGCAAACCCTGGTCGTAATTCTATTATTATATACAAAATTAAATTATAGTTGCTAATGCAAGCGATCGTTTTATAATGGCCCATATTAACTAAGTATCGTAACAATTTAATTATAATAGAAAAAAAATTAAAGATTTTTTTTTTTTGCTTACAAAAAAAAAAAAAAAGAAAATTTAAAAAAAAAATATTAGCAGCATTTAGAAAATTTGCAAAGAAAACTTTTTTCTTTTTATAATTACTTTTGCTTAATCACATAAAAATGATCTGCAACCTGATTGGTCGTTCAACAGATATATCTGTAAAACCATTATACAAATAAATATTTTTTAATAAAATTGGAAAGTAGGCTGGCAAGAAGTTCCATTATACATAATATAGCTTTTTTGTTATTAAATCTGTTATATCTATTTTAAATTACTATTAAAAATTCGGTACCTTGAGTTTAATCTGTTAAACCTGTGAATCCGGTATAAGGATGTCCATTATATCCATAGTTGACAGTATAAGTGATCATAAAATATAAAAGCAAAAAATAGAACGCAATACTCAATATAACGATAAGCGTTATAAATTTGATATATATCATATTACGTAAGTACATATGTACGTATATTATCTGTTATGTACAAATTACCAGAAATTCATTAAATATTACTAAAAATAAATCACTGATCTGAGATTTAACTTAATCAAAACTTGACAATCAAGTTTTTACTTAATTTTGTCAAGCACTAGTTTGGGTGGGTATATTTCTTGTATTTGTTATTTGGTTTTTTGTTTTTTTGCTTTTACTAATGCTCATCTTTTCTTTTTTGATAAATTTTACTTTTTGCTTGTATTAACGTTCTTTGAGAATCCCAAATGGCTATAATGATATCTTCTAATTCTATATATTCTTGAACCAATGTTCAGCTTAATGCAAGAGATGGTTAGATTTGACAAGTCTGGTTGGTTTCTTCAGATAAGTATCCTTCTGTTGCATTATATTTCTTACTTGCTAACACTTTCACAGGTCGAATGTACGAATAATGGTTAAATAACGAGATATATCTTTATTGACACGTTATTTACCTGATATGCATTTCGGGAAATGAATAATGGTAAACTAACAGATACCAGCATTAGGGTAAGATAAAAGATAGATATTAAATACAAAATAGTATACCCTTTGTTTCCTAATACTATCCCGATATTCATCTCTACATGCTAATAGCATAATAGAAAGTTGCAGGTATACAAAAGGT